CGTGTCGCGCGATTGACAAACGTCACGTGTATTCACGTCGCTTTGAAATTAAGTCATTCTCTTCTCCTGATTTTAATCGATTCGCTTCTGAAGTAGTCAACCGACGATCGAGTTACTGAAGATACGGTGGATCGATGTAACTTGAGACACGTATATATATCGCACCTCGTTTCATCAGCCTTCTATTGACGACGCACAACCGATCTTGCAGATGCAATTAATTATGCTCGATTCGCGACTTAATGAGACGCGGCAGTGACACATCGCCGGTCACCAGTGGCTGTAGCGACATTCGACGTGTCAATGCGGGGGTGGGTGGGGACCGCCGTAAGAATCACATGACTCTTCAGAAGCTCCGTTGGAGACTTCTCATCCGTTGGAATAAGTCATCACGCACGATGACAGCTCAATTTAATTACATCGCACAATGCCTCACTATATATACCGCGCACACAGAAGAATGATTTTGCTGTTGTAGCGAAACGGTAGTTGCTGCTACATATTCGTCGCAACGGTGATCAAATTTCATCGGCACAACTAGATCAAAGAATTATTCGTAATCAGAGCAGAATCAGTTTTGCTGCCGTGCAGAAAAGAAAAATACTAGATTCATGTAAATAATTACTCCAATATTCCCTCGGCAAATTTTGACTCGGATCAAGTAAATTTTACTTGAGTCAGGTAAATAGATCCGGCTATGTCCGCACGGTAACTGACAGATTTTGCTGCGTAAAATTCGCTGCGAGCCAGCAGACTGTTTTTCATCGCGCACGTCATGTTTGCGTTCATAAACCACTCCGTCGCAGCGTGGACGGTTGAGTCTATTCCGCGTGTTATAATACTCGTCGAACCCAGAAGACCACCTCGCCGAGGCATCGTTCATCGAGGCTCCTCATCGAGAATACTCGCACTCTCGTACTCCGCCTCTCCCCCTCCCAGCACATTGGCAAAAATCAAAACGCACAATCGACGAGATCGAAGCGCGGCTCGGCGAAGGTGTACTTGCCGAAAAGGGCGAAGAGGTCCCGGGGGCCCCGAAATGATTGCGAGGATCCCACTCGACGAGCGCAGTCGGTGGGAACGTCGGTCTTTCCTTCCAGGAAGGTAATTTCAAGTTAGGAAGGTAGGTGGTCACGCGATTGCGTCTTACACGTGGAGAGGCCAGTGAGCCGAGGGAGAACGAACGAACGGACAGACGGACGGACGGCGGTCGAAAGCTCAAAGAGGGAGAACCGATCGGCCGATCCTCCGCAACGTGGAGCTAAAGACTACCTGTCCGAGGGAGCAACGTCGAGACGCGGGATTTCGAAGTTTCTCTCTCTCTCTCTCTCTCTCTCTTGCTCTCGCCGGCTACGTTGAAAAATCCGCCCATCCGGCTTCCTCGCCGATCGCGGCGGTCGAGGTCGAGAAAAGGGAGGCGAGGGTGTTTCTCGCCGACTCGTATCGCTCGTCCGCTCGCTCGCTCGTTCGCTCGCTTCCATAAGAGGCTGTTTATCAACGACCGCTTTTAGAAGCGGTGACTCACGTCTCGCGCAGATACGTCCCTACCGAACCTGTCCACCGTCGCCGCCATCGCCGCCGCGGCGCATAAACCGCAGGGAGCCACCGGGTCGTCTTTTATCTCTCGTTTCCGACGAACCGGGGTTTCCTCGTCGTTTTGCTCGCGCAAACGAGCCTTAGACGGGTTTTTAGCCGACGTGACTCACCTCCTCCTCCTCTCTCTCTCTCCTTTCTTCTTCTTCTTCTTCTTCTCCGCTCCGCTAACGCTACGCTACACACTACGATGCGCTTCCAACAACGAGATTCGGCCGGCAGCGAGAAAAAGCCGGATCGACCGCGCGAGAGAGAACGTGTGTTTAACCCTTCTTCCAGCGAGTGAACCCGGCCCTTTCCCAGGCGTCGGAGGTGTCCCAGAGACAGCACCAGGAGACGTGACGACATTTCGCGTACCCGCGAGAAATACGTTGCTCGCGAGATTACAGAAAGAATCACCTTTCGCACGGCCTGCCCAAATTATATACGCAGACTGTACGACGACGGAGTCGTCGCAGCGTCGTGCGAGCGCGAGTTCAAAGGGAGAAACGGGGGTGAGGGGGTTAAGGGGAGACGCGGACTGTTGCGTCTGGCAGTGATAAAGTCCTCTCTCTCTCTCTTTCTCTCTCAGCAGGTCGACGAGAGGATTACCGTCGAGCGGAGAGCGCGAGAAATTCAGTCGAGCGAGTGTTCGACGATGGATGATATCGCGCTCGCATTTATTTGTCGCGATGCGAGGACGCCGACCTCGTCCCATTGGATGTGGGTAATCTTCGACGAGGGGCGATACTCCTTGGCACGGAGCTCGACCGCGTGCGTATTATTCACGCGACCACGTTGTTGCAACGGAAAGCGATACAACCGCGAGCGGGTGCGCGTGTGTGTGTCGCGAGAGAACGTTGGCCCGATCGGAGTTATTTCTCCGCGAAAAGCGATTACGTCGAATCGTCGCTAATGAACTTAACGTTGCGCAGAACGTCGCCGGCAATACGATGCGATCCACAGGTGAGTCACTCGAGGAATCCGTTTTTCCAAAAATGGAGAGCGCGCGCGACAAACGGGCGGGGAAATGAGCGAGCGAATCTCGGAGAAAGCAAAATATTGCGTAAATATTGCGTCGATATCCGGCGGTTACCTCCCGGAGCCGAGGTACATGGGAGAAAATCCCGGTTCGTGTAACAGAGTGGAAATCAGCATGCCTATTTCGCAATCTTTAATGACAGTTATCGCTGTCGTTACGCAGTTATGTGTTAGAGGGTGAAAAAAGGGAGAAAAAATCAGGTGAGAACTCGGTGACACGAGAAACGATACGTATCTGTTTATCGTGACGGGAAACGTTCGTCCGGACATTCAACCGTACTAAACCTCGATCGAGATACTTGACGACTATTCGCTGTCTAGAAATCTCTCGCGGAAATCTTACCGTTCCTACAGCAGAGTCGACTCCATTTCCCAGGCAACGGAAAATCTGTTACACGTCTGGAGTTTTCCTTCTCTGGATACGCACGTAAACAAAAATGCCCGTTCACGTACCCGAATAGGGACCGGACGAAAATCCGACACCTCTGTTAACGCGACCAAAGGCATACGTCTGAAAACATTCGGCTGCTTGAAAACTGTCGAGTTAACCGACGATAATGGGAGCCGACTGAATGGGAATCTCCTACAGGAATGTACCTGTTCCCTACAATCGAGTTTTCGTCTGCTCCCGGGGGGCCCTTCCAGACAACAAAGAAGCTGAGTTACATACAAACCGAGTTTTCTTTTGCGCGTAAGATGGAAACTCTCGTTTCTACGCACTACGCTTACCACATTCGTGCATCGTGATCGCGCGATAATTAGACACGGTATCTCGAAGCGGTCTTGTCGTGTGATAATTTTATATGTGCACTAGAGGTGGAGTACTATTCTTGACGTATTCGAAGTTTCGAAACTCCGATATAATTTCACATCTGACAGCGAAGCTCGACGATTCGAAATATCGAAGTTGTTAACAGAAGCAATTTTGAGAATGCGACCACATACTGTGCAATTGAAGAATATCAGTTTAACGCGGATAAAATTAAGACGTCCTAAAACGTCGTAAAGACGCTTGCTATGCCCGCAAAGCGACACATATACTTCCGGGTCTTGAAGTTTCTTGAATATTCAAACATTCGAATGTTCGGATCTTCACAGTACCAAATTTCATTATTCGAATGTGTTAATATAATGTTTGTCGAAGGTTCAGAAATTCGAAGAGACGCAGCTTCGAATATCATATCCGATCCTAACGTGCGGACGGGGGAAAAATGCCGTCGAATCAATAGGATTTTCAGCAGCGCGTTTAAATTAGGAGTAAATCTTCTTGATTCAATAATAATACCATTGAAACTACATCAAACGTTCTTTCAATAACTCAAGTATTACCTTCAATGACACTATTATTGAGTGAAGAAGATTTACTCTCTCATCAAACGCTCTATTGGAAATTCTATTGACCCAATACATCATTTAATTTTCGCGTACACAGCCAGTTGCGGAAAAATCGCGATCACTTCTCCCCGTGAATTCCGCAATGCGTTTGTGTCCAGTAAGAGGATTCCTCTTTTTTTTTTTTTCAGCAATATTCGGAGAATACATTTTCCTACCGAATACCATTCCGTACGCATTCCTAAGTTCATCGAGGTAAGAGTGCTCTTCTCGCCACCGACTGTAAGTAACGTCGGACGGGTTAAGAGTGTCCTCCTAAATCCAGCGAGCCGCCCCGGGGCGTTATTCACGCTCGGTGCACGCCCGTGAAAAACCGGTACGTATTAGCGCTTCCACACACGAGAACGGGGTGCGCGGCCAAGCGCGTCGCAGAGGTCGAGGAGCAATATTCGGCGGTGCGCCTCTATCTCCGTACCTCCTACCCCTCGCGTGCACAGAGGATACCGTGGGAACGGGCCCTGGCATAACAGGTAGTAAGACAGTCGTGTCTTCCACCGTACGCTCTCTCTCTCGAGCGCAGGCGGAGTGCGTCGTCCATGCGTCCGCGCGCAGCCGACGCAGCGACGCCGACTTTGCTTGAATTTTACCGGCGCGTTGCTTGCGACTCGCGAGAGCCTCAGCCTCGATATGTCTCAGCCCCTGAATTTCTGAAGTAGAAGAGAGACTCGTTAGACGCCAGAGAGAAAACAGACGCGATAACAACGCTCAGAAGCGATAAGACGTTAAAGTTCACTAATAGGAGCGAGTTACGATGACGCAACTGGTAATTAGCGTACGCAATCCGCGAACGACGGGAGGAAGGAGACGGGAGACAAAGACTGCGAGAACAGCGTTTATCGAGCGACAACATCGGGGAGGAGGGGGGAGGAAGACGTCGAAAATCTCAGAGCGCGACTCCGATCCGCGGGACACCCGGTGTTGTCTCGACCGGTCCCTCCCTCCCTCCTGCCGTCGCACCTCAACGAAAGTTCCGCACCCGCGAGGAGATCCGTTACCTTACGTCACTGCCTTACGACCCGCTCCTTTCTTCCGTTCCCCGCTCTCTGTCCCTCCGCCGAGCGCGTTGTCCACTACGTCCGCGCGAAGTCCGCCGTTACGCCATTAGGGCTCGGTCGTTCCTTTTGCCCTCTCTCTCTCGTATCCCTACCAGCTGAACGTAAACCTGACAGTTGACCTCGTGTGTCCCGACGTGCTGCGCGCGCGCGCGCGCGCGAGAGATCGCGCGTACCACCACGACGCACTGCAAAACTGCACCCAGGCGACGTCTCCTAACCTCAACCGTCCCGACGACGCGTTTTCCTCGTGCAACACGCGGCGGACGCTCGGTTATTACACTCTCTCGGGAGTGGCCGGTGTTTTTTCTCTCTCTCTCTCTCTCTCTCAGCGGCCTTTCGCGGTCGTCGCGATGCGTCGTGACCAGAGAGGAGAGGCGTTTATACGTTTCGCTCGCGCGTACTCTCACACAACAGTACACACCGTCACTCGTCGCTTTCACAGCGCGCGCGCGATGCCGCGACTGAGACGCCGCGTGCGGCGTGCTCGGTTTTACGCGGCCGCCGCCGCCGCCGCCGTCGCTGCCGGACCGCAGCTGTCCTTCTTCCACTTGCTTACGCTCACTCTCTCGGCCACCGCGTGTGCCCTGCCCCGCAGGACTAACTCTGCTCAGAGAGTTTTCTCTCTCTTTCTCTCTCTCTCTCTGTGTGTGTGTAGGGGGACCCACGCGAGAGAGGAGGGCACGCTCTCGTCTCGCGCCTCTTCGAGAGAGGCCCGAGACCGGTAATGATCGTGCACGCGCTGTTACTGACCATGTACAGGATCAGTGAGAGAGTCGTTAATGCCCGCCGCTTTCCGGTTTAGACGTTTTCAAAGTCGAATCCGAGGACGTATGCGTTTAATCCCGACGGGAACAGCAGCCTCGGCAGCGCGCGCGCTGTAATTGGGTTAGTATTTTATAATTGTGTGTGTGTGTGTGTATAAACTCGTTTCTGCTTCGTCAACGTAAAGCTGTCGCAGGGACAGGTTGCTATTTTAATAACACACTGTTTTCCTACTTGATGGGATGACCGATAAATAAGAAATCAATGAAGAGCGCGGTTAGAAAATTCTAATAACCTGAATGACATCAGCTAGTCTCCCCGTCGGTTAAGTGTGTGATGTCTCGGCCAATTAATCTTTGCGCCCGAGCTGTGGAACTGTGTTCGTTATTTCGGCCATTTGCGTACATGCTAATATGTCGAATTATACTTTCGGAATTTCTCAATATTCGCACACCGAGAGAAAAATATCTGCTATTTGTAATTGTAATGTTCGTAGTGAAAGAATTAGCTAAGTAAACCACTTTTCTAGTACACTGAAAAAATGAGTCTTTGGCCGGAGCTACCTGATAACTGGACGATCAAACAGAATTCCGGGTTGTGGGAACCAAATTTGGCTCGTGAGAACTAGAAATGTTGTCACCTTGAATGAAAACGCGCCTGCCCGTTATCAGGTAGATTACACTCACAAACTCCTTTTCAGTGTGTTATTATAAACAAATAAGAAATCTTGTGTTAAAAACGGTCCATTGAAACTTTATGTTTCTTTAACGTGGGGAACGTGTTAAAAAGTACACAAAATTGTGTTAAAAAGTAAACATATGTTGGCAAAGTGAATGTATTAATTTAACATCATGTTTGTGTACGTTTTAACACATTTCCCGTGTCAAGATAACATAAAATTTCAGTCGACCGTTTTTAACATAAACATTTTTTACCGTGTAGTGTCAGTGACAATAACCTTGCATGCATATTGCTACTATTATTTTTATGATTAAAACCATAAAATAAAAGAGTAGAATCCAAAACGAAAATAACTATAATTTCTCTCAAATTGCAAATTGTCGCCGTTAAAAGACTCGTTTTTGTATATTAACGTGAAGCCGTCACGGGAACAGATTGCTATTTTGGCACATCGTACCTGTAAATAATAAATCGATCACGCGCGCGGTTGGAAAATAACCCAAATTCTAACAACCTAATTAGATCGCACCAATGTTTAACCAACTCCACTTATTATATATGAGCTATTTCAAATATTCACATATCGGAGCGTTCATTTGGAATGTTCGAGCTTGTTTAAACAGTTGCGGGTCTCGGGATTTCGGATTCTCGCGAGGAATTCGCGCGGGATCGCGCGTCACCGGATCAAAAATCCGCCGCTCGACTCGCACCGAGGCGCCGATGAGCGTATCTCGCGCGTTATCTCATTATACGCCCGGAGATACGCGATAATTTATTGCTCACCGTCTCTTTGCGAGGATGACGTAATAATGCGACGGAATGGAGGGAACGGAGAGAGCGTTTCGAGCGTCGAAAAAACCCGCGAGTTTTTGCATGCAAAAACGACGTTCGTCGTTAGCGTCGCGGCTGATTGCGAGAGCCGCCACGGGAAGCGGAGATTTTTCAGAATGCCGCCGCTGCGGGCCAATTCCCACATCGGTGATTCTTTTGTGTTCACGCGAACCGACAAAAACCTGGGGCGTGGTGCGGCCGCAGCCCGCCAGGTGCTACGACGACGTAGCGCCGTTGAATCGACACGCGAAAATAGAGGCGGGCCTGGCTGTCCCCTCTTGAAAGAGGGAGCCTCCTCTCAAAGAAACATGCAAATCCTAATGGACGCGGAAACCCGTTTCCCCGAGCTTCCCGGGGATTTATTCGGGTCGCTTTCGCCACCGACCGACGTATCTGTAGCGAACAAACAAGCACACGTCGCAGCTCGACGAGTACCACCACCACGTTACCGCACCATCAGCCGAGCGGAGCGGAGCGGACGTTTAATCTGTACCCCGGCATCTTGTCGATTCGATCGAAATTCACTTCGCGTGATACTCGTTATCGCGCGAGCGCGTACGCGAGCCGCGTGCGTCCGAGTGTAGTAACGCGTGGGATGACGACGATGGAGGTGGCGGCGGCGGTGGTGGTAGTAGTTGCCGTAAATCGCTCACGTGACGGGCAAATAAGATTCTAGGCTATCGATCGCGTCGCGTTCAATTATAAATCCGCTGCGTTCTTTCGCGTGAAACAATCGATCGATCGCTGCGGCCAGCCGCCGGTGCGTTCGTTTGTTGTTAGTCGCGTGCGCGCGCGCGTCAATGCTCCCGGCACCGCTAATCGTTAGAGACGACGGCCAGCGGAGTCAGTCACCGTTCGTTCCTCTATTAAACGCGACTTTTTTTTATTAACAGCGTCCCGACGGTACTGAAATAACCAACCGGGCAGTCGGCGAGTAGCGATCCCGGATGTACACCGGGTACTCGAGTACCTGGATTACTTTGGACGTGGATTTGATGGTCGATTTGTCCAACGATTCACGACGATTAACGAATAACGAACGAGTGCGTCGCAGACTCGCGACTACTCGCTGCTCGTGTTTGCGTCTTGAATATTACTCGAGTACACCGAGAGAAAAATACTGAAAAATTGATCTGTGGACATAAGGTTTATTTCCGCGAGAGATTCTCACAGAGATAGATCTTGTTTCTACGAAATAAACCTTATGTCTCACAAATAAATTTTTATGCTTTTTACGTTGAATGGTTTTTCTTACTTAGTGTACCGGCGCACTGAGAGAGAGAACATCTAAGAAATCAAAAATATTTATTCTCTGAAATGCCGAAAACATATTTACTTATATTGATATTCATATTCTTATTCTGAGAACAATTCCGTTGGAATAAGAAAATTGTACATTTTCGTAGAATCGCAGCTGTTTGCGGAAGCAATTCTTTATTTTATTCAAATAAAAGAATCGGTAGATTTAAACAAATACGTTATCGGCAACCGTCGAAATATATACAAATGCCCTTCATCTTTTCCCAGATTTTTTTCCACGCAATGTATGTTCTCGAGTATGCGGATATTTCGAATGTTACCCAATTATCGATTTCCTGGACGATAATAAATAACGAACGAATGCATCGCAAGCTCGCCGCAGCCATTTATTACCCAGGTCATCATTATAGTACTATAGTCCACCAGTTCCAATTCACAGAGACAAGACTTCCTTTCGCAAGGCGTATCCTTCGGAATCACGTCGCACGTGCCCTTTCGCGTATAAGATGTCGCGCGGCCTTCGGTGATGCACTCTCGAATGCACCTGAGATCGCGAATCGCGGCGGTAAATCAACCGGGAGACCTTCCACAGCCGGGTGCGATCGATAAGAACCTCTATGCCGCTCTAATTCTCGCCACCGGGGAGCCTCTTCCGAGGTTCTCGACGATTCCTGCGTCTCGCCGTTCTCGCGAAACCAGCGGCCGCGCGCTTTGACATCGAAAGAGCGAGAGAGAGAGAGATATAGAGAACCGTCGCAATCTCGGTTCTGACACCGTGTCCTAACTTCCATACTCATAAACTACGCTTTTATTTCGCTTTTATTTCAGTTTTACGAACGGTGACGGTGCCAAGCGACCCTGTCAATCGCGTCTCACTGCGGAACATACATTATAAAAAGAAACCAGTCGAAGCGAGCTCGAGTCGAACCAGCTGAATTTCAGAGAATGCATAACGAACCGACTGCGCTTGAATTATTTCAACTTGGAATTTGGGCGTTCTATTTATTTCTCTGGTTTGCGCCGAACGAGAGGTTAAAATTTCCTTCAACGGGACGTAATCGTGAAGCTCCATCAATCGTATTCATCGTCCGATTTATTTGAACTTTCAACCAGAGGTGGAATTACTCGGCATTGCGCAACTAAATCAGCCTTCTGATACTTGAGAGAACATCTACATGTCACACGTAACAACCACGTTTCAGTTCCGCTCGCCGTTTTACCGTTGGCCGAACTCCCCGGTCCGAAATCCTGCGCCAAGTTTATAGATCCCACTCGACCTTTCCCCGGCGCTCACTCCACTCTACCGCAGTTCGATGCGAGGAAATTTGCGCAACCCTGAAACTTGTTTCTTTCCGCCCGATTCCTTTTTTTTCCCCCGTTGCGGAAAATGGTCGTGTTGGCGGCGAACTTGCCGCTTGTGACGTGACCGTGATCGGTAGCGTGTTAGCGGGCGTTTAAGGCTAAGCGCGAAATCGAAACGAGGTCGATTAGCCGCCCGGACGGGATAACGAGGCGAAAACCCGTCGTTTACCCGGAAATCCAGGGCGACTTGTATCGCAGTCCGCGGTGAAGACGCGGTCTCGAGGATAAGTCGCGCGTCCTTCTTTCTCGAAACGTCCGCGTCCGTTCGCAGTCCGGAGTCGCCACAGGTAGTTTTTACAAGTGGCCGCCGGTTCTCCCGCGGAGAAACGGCGCCGTGTAAAGAAAGGAAGGAGGGGAAAGGGGGACACCGGGGGGGTTAGTATACACGGAGCGGTGTCGCGCTTTCTTCGGGAAACAAGGAACCGGCGAACGCGGCCCGGATTTCGATTGCGCTCTCGCTTATATATTCGATACTCGCGCGAAAGCGACGACGCGTGGGAGTCCTTCTCGCGCCGCTCGTAATTCCACGCAATTGCCCGGATACTTCGTTCGCAAT